TTTCCTTCCTTTATCTTATGAAGGGTCAGTGTGTCCCCGTGCCATCTTTAGGGTGGGTGCACACAGGATTATCCGATACCCAGTGCTTAGGAGTGCCTGTGTTCTAGTAACTCTGCCTGTGGTTTTGCCAAGCTCATGTAGTGCACAATGAACTTGTGAGCAGGCATCTGCTTTGTGACAGGGCCTGACTTTTGTTCATAGTATGGTTCCTACTCACTGATTCAGGCATTGGGCCTTGCACCAGACCCAGTATGCCATGCGTTTTCTCTGTACTGCTAGTGGCGGAGGCTACATCTTCGCTGTGTTTTAAAACCCAGGGCAGCAAATCTCACAGCCTGTATCTATAGTCGTGGGCATGCATTACAGTGCTAAAAAATCCCTGTAGAGGTTGTGGCTTGAGTGCCAAAGCCCACCCCCCTCTTTCCAGGCTTTGGAGCCCCAGCTACAACATCGACATGGCTGCTTTTAGCATTCTAGCAAGAGCCACAGAGATGAAGGTCTGTCGTAAGGTCTCCTGAATAACTGCTCGACGCCAATTGGAGAAAGCTCTCCCGTTGGCACAATTAAATCACCCCCAACAAGCAGTGGGAGCTATTTTGGCAGGAGAACACCCTCCTCAGACATAGCACTATTCACAGCAGTGTTTTTGTCAGTCAAGGTTGTTTCCCTCCCTCCCCCGCTGCTGACCAACAAAAGTACTAGTGTAGACTTAGCCAAAATTACTTTCCTAATGACCGTGATACAGAGCCAGGAGTAGATCTGAGGTTCCTTGATATCCAGTTTGTAGCACTACATGTTGGTGTACGCTGTCTCGCTTTAATATAAGATTGTAACATGGAACTGTTATGTATTATCACACCCTTGAGGTGGGTGGGGAGCTCCAGCCCATGACTGTGTCCCTCTTATGCCGCCATGTTCTGTGTTCCCATCCCTGTGATAATCTAGCCTTCTGGCTGGGTTCTTCATCATCCCTGTCCCTTTCTTGATCAAGGGGAGCTGGAACTTCTGTGGTTCCAGTGGGGGCTAGACAGCCCAAGGTCTCATGGGTCAGAGGAGGGAAATCTAGCCACTCCACTGAGATCCAGCTTCGGGACCCTGTTTGGAACAGCCAGAACCAATCCTTTTTTTTTCTTTTTGCCCCTTGCTCCTCCATGAGCTGCCTCCCACCTCTCCTCCC